TCACAGAGATGGGGGTCTGTCTTGGCAGAGCCCAAGGCATGAAGATCCAAAAGAGCTTGGTTCAGGTTCTTCTCCAGGGCCAGGGCAGCTTCCATGGCGTCCAGGGTTTTACCCCACTCATCTTCAGAAGGTTTCTGCACGTCTTGGAGGAGCACTCGGCCTCCGCACTGGTTTTGCATTTTCAGGAGATGCTCGGCACCCTCGCATTTCTCCTTGGCCAGCTTGCAGAAGAAATGGCCCACGCCTGCCAGAGCCACATCGCCACGGTTGAAGTAGTAGCCCAGAGAGAGGTAGGTGTAGGAGGCCCACAGGTGCAGATTTACCAGGCGGTTGACGGCAGCCTCCACTTTGGTGGAATAATTCTGATGTATCTGAGAAGTCATGGCTAGTCAGCAATAAGGAACTAACCACAAAAGAATGGTGTTGGCCGGTCCTGGAAGCAGGGGATTGGCGAGATGATGGGCCCGAAATCTGTAACTGGAAGGTGAATAGAGGATGAAAAAGAGGGAGTCCCTAGGTCTGTTCCGTCCAAACATTGTTGAAGCAAAAGACAGAGCCGCGGGACCTCCAGACGTGCCACTAGTTTCACACTTATGCATATGGATATCCAATTTTCCATCATTAGTTAAAGAAGCTGTCTTTTCTCTGTAATTTTAGCTCCTTTGTCAGGAGTCAAAATCAGGTGGCTGTAGTTGTGTGGATTTGTTTCTGTGTCCTCTCTTATTTAAATAAACTTCATTGATCTACCTGTCTGTTTTTGTGCCAGTATCATGCATGCTGTTTTTGTTATTATGTCTTTGTTGTTAGTATAATTTGAAATTGGATATTGTGATGCTTCTAGCCTTGTTCTTTTTTTTCCTCAGGATTTCTTTTGCTATTTTAGCTTTTTTGTGTTCCTGTGTGAACTTTAGAATTGTCTTTTCTAGTTCTGTGAAGGATATCATTTTGATAGGGACTACATTGAATCTGTAGGTTGCTTTTCGTAATATAGCTGTTTTAACGGTATTAATTATGCCAATCCATGAACATGGGAGGTGTTTTAATCTTGTAATATAATCTTCAAATTCTTTCTTCAGTCTTCTGTAATTTTCATTGTAGAGGTCTTTTCTCCTCCTTGGCTAGGGTGATTATGAGGTATTTCAATTTTGTTTTGAAGCTATTATGCGTAGAATTCTTTTTCTTGGTTTTTTTTCCCATCTTGTTCATTATCAATATATAGAAAAACTGTTGATTTTTAAAAAAAATATTGATTTTTGTATCCTGTAAGGCTCACTTTACTGAGTTTACTTTTTGTACTGAAACTTTATTCCTTAAAGTCTTGCCTGTTTTGTCTGCTCTGTGATGACTTCACACAGCTTTAACATTTTTTATTTTTTAGAGCACTTCTAGGTTCACAGCAAAATTGAATAGGCTGTAGAGAAAGTTCCTATATGTCCTGCCTCTACCCACTTACCCATGTCCCTTACTATTCACACCTTGCACCACCATGGTACATTTGTTATAACTGATGAGTCAACACTGACACATTATTGTCACCCACAGTCTGTACACATAGCTGTGTGTGGGTATGTTTTATAGCTGTTTAGTATCCTTCCATTTTCTTTATTGGGCAGAATAAATTCAGTATATTTGAAAGTGTCTCAATGGTTCCTGACAATTGTTAGAACTGATTTGTTGAAATTAGTGGCTTTGGTAGGAAATTATGCATGGTGATGTATTTGAAGTTTTATATTTTTTTCCTCTGTTATGGCTTGTGTCTAGATGTCTCCCAAAACCTCATGCAGTCATAGGTGGGAGTTTTTCAGAGGTGGTTGAATCTAGGCTGTGATTGATTGATGGTGCAGTGCTAGGATTAAGGGTGGGTGATTACTAAAATCAATCCACTGATTGATTTGGCACTGCCCTAATCACAGTAGCCTAGATACAGTATAAGGGACAGAAAGAGGCTTGTCTTGTCCCTCACTTGCTTTGCTACCTTCTGCCTACCATGAATTATTTCTCCTCTGCAATGCCCCCTTCCATGCTATGCAGACTATGGACTGAAACCTCTATACACTGTGAGCTAGATAAACTTTTTCCTTTTAACTTTGAGTGTCAGGTATTTTGTCTCAGCAACGAGAAGGTAACTAAGACACCCTTAAGTCCCATTGGTCTAGATTAGAAGTTGTTCAGTGTCCTTGGCCATATTGTGGTTATCAAATAGCTGAGATTTTAATTTAAAATATATACTACCATAGAACGTATTTTGGGCATCAGTATGTCTAACTGAATATTTTGTATTTATTGAATTCTTTTTTAAGGGCAGATTAAAATTTGTAAAATACTCTGCTAGTGACTGGATGAAATATAACTGGCACAGGCAGCCCCAGATTTTAAGGACTTTTCAAATCTTCTTACTAGAGGAGATGAGGCACACATGTAAATATTATCAGGACTGTTTGTAGATGATGTATTTTATTTCTTAAGCCTAAGTTTTTGTCTTTCCACTATCATTTATTAACCCTAAAGAAGTCACTCAAGCATTTTTAATTTCAGGTGCTTTTTTGGGCTAGGGAGATTATTTATGCCAAGTGCTTTACATATTTTATTATCAAAATAATCTGGAAAGGCAAGTATGTCCTTGCCTTACCTATTTTGTGTTGCTGTAACAGACTGTCCCAAGCTGGGTACTTTTACTTTTAAGTAAAGAGAATCTCAGTTATTTGGATCACAGATCTGGTAGTTGGATGATATCCAAACATCATGATGCCAGCTTTCTGTAGAGGGCCCCCTTGAATGTTCTGACATGGTGGAGAAGTGGAAGGGGAACCGGACCCATGCAGAAAGGGCATGTGTAGGAGCAAGAGATGAGGAGGGCCCAGGCTTGATCTTTTTATAATAGTTTATTCTTAGAAATCAGTTCTACTCCTGCTAGACACAAAACACTGCTACTGACCAGCATATTAATACATTTATAAGGGTGGAGTGTTTCGGCTTTAGTACTTTCTGCTGGGCCTCACCTTCTGAAGCAGGCATGTTCATCCTGCTGCTCGTAACTCAGCCTTACAAGATCTTAAACTTTTAACATTATTATGTAATGTTTAGCCATATTTTTCATGATCTGATTGTGCAGTACTTGAGTGCAGACTGTGTAGGCAGCAAGGGAACTCTGTCTGAGGGAGGGTACAGTGCTAACTCTACCTCCTGTGCACACCATACAGTCAGGTAGTATCTGTGTAAGGCATTACCTACACTTGTGTGACTTGGCAAATAAAACACAATGATTACTGGTGATACCATACTATTTGTTTTAGTTACTTTCTTGTTGCTGGGACACAACACCTGACACCCACAACTTACAGGAGGAAAGGTTTATTTTGGCTCACAGTTTGTAGAGGTTCCAGTCCATAATCAGCTGGCTGCAATGCAGAGTGGCACGGCAGAGGAGAAACAGCTCATGGCATGGCAGCCCCAAGCAAAGAGATCAATGGAGGAAGAAAGGGAGATGGACCCATCCAGGCCACGCCCCCAGTGATTCACTTCCTCCAACTGGGCTTCACCTCCCACATTACGTTTAGCTATAAACTCATCAGTGAACTAATCCACTGATGTGAGTCATACCCCATGATCCAATCTCCTCTCAAAAGCCCCGTCTATGAGCACATGAAGCTTTGCAGGGACATGTAAATATAAACCATAATAGTACGTAGTTCAGCCTGTTTACAAGTACGGGCACTTATTGTTGTGTTATATTCCTTATTTAATTATTTTGTAAAATAATTTTATACATTAAAACATAAAAAAGCTTTACATATGTTAACTATGTTATATGTTTTATATACATCCCACAATTCTTCTGTACCCAGTGAGGCCCAAGGAACCAAAAGTTTGGACAGCCATGTCTTAAAAGGTTTTACTACCTCAACACTGTCACATTGAGGATTAAAGTTTCTAGGGCATGAAACTTGGGAACAAATTATATTGCAAATATGAGCAATGCCTTATTTGCAAATAAATATCTGTAATGAAATATATAACTTGCTAAAGGGCTAGAGATTATAACTGCTAGAGTTGGGATCTGAATTCAGTTCTCTGTGACTGCAGAGTCTATTTTTATTTGAGTATACCAGCACATACAACCTGTTCTGAGAATTGAAAGGTGCTTCTTGAAAAGTGATGCTGTATTTTCTGATAATGTACTTGTAAAAATTATGTGTAGTAGTGTTGTTCCTGTGGTATTTCTGCTGGAAATAGATAAATTGTGTCTTCTCATGAGGAAACATTAGATAAACACAAGTTGAAGGACAAGTACAAAGCAACTGTTCTATATTCTTAAAAAATGACGGTGTTATCCTTTCTCAAAGGGGAAGGCGATCAAGCGATGGAGGGAGGAGAAAAAGGGAATGAAAAAAGAAAAAGTTTGTTATGTACATGCACCAACTTCACACAAGGCATGTAAACATATATTGCAAACATATACAAAAATAAAAAAGAGAGGGGATCAAATGGTAGATGGATGGGGGATGGAAGGAAGGGAAAGGGGATGAAAAAAGGAATTAAGATGTATTATGTAGATGTACTAACTCCCCACAAGAAATGGAAACATTATATACTACCAACATGTACTAATAAAAATAAAAAATATTGAGCTGGGTGTGGTGATATACAGCTGTAATACTAGCACACTGGAGGCTGAGAGAGGAGGATTATTGCCATGAGTTTGAGGCCAGCCTGGGCTACATTGTGAGTTTAAAGCCGGCCTGAACTACAGACTCAGTATCAAAAAAACAAAAGAACCAAAAAACAATGAAAGAAAAGTATTGAGTATTTTAAATAAGCCAAACAAAAGAGCTACAAGGCTGTGATCTAAAAAATTTTTTCTATAAAGGAAAACATTATAGAGACATTTGGCAAAAGTTGAATAATAGAATTTGAATCCTGATTTCAACAAATATACTATAGCTGTAAGACTCCTTGTGTTTAGGACGTATGCACCAAGGATACATTTGTAGATAAAGGGATTTATTGTTTGCCACTTAAATCTCAAACAGTTCAGGAAAATTATATTTGTCTCTGTATAAAAGAGGACAGTGCAAATAACATAATATGTTAACCTTTGAGGATCTGGTTCAAGGTATTATCTGAATATTTTGTATTGGTTTTGCAACTTTTCTGTAAGTTTGAAGTTGTGTCAACATAAAACAGTTAAAAGGAAGAAAAAAATACTAATATATTTATCTAGCTGTTAAGTAAAATTTGCCTTTAAGAAGTGGTATACTCCATAGTTCAGTGAGATTACATAAAAACTCACCTGATGAATCAGTGGATAAGCACATCTTCCATATGCTTATTACCTGAGACACTTGGGTGGTTTTTTTTGGTTTTTTTTCCTCTACCTGGGGTTGAACTCAGGACCTTG